TTAGGGATGGTGGGGGAGAGGGGGATGCTTCTCAGTTACTGGAGGAAGGGGGAACATTCTTCAGCCTTTCTTTCATAATAAATGTTTTAAGGTTGAGTATATAAATGGTAGACTAATATAAGATAAAATTAATAAAAAAGAAGAAAAGGTTAAACATATGGTACTGATTTAGTGAATGAGACCATGAATGTTTAGAACACTTGAAATTTCTCTCTTGATTATCCATATCACATCACACTAAACATATACTAAAACTATTATTATATTTAATCATAGAAAATCAAAACTTGTCTTCGTAAACCTTTAAAAAAATAGCACAAATAACCATATCAAAAGATAAACAACACAAACTTACCACTCCACTTTCACGCTCAGCCCTTCTGTATTGTAAATCCCTGTTTTCACATTCCAGCTCTTCAATTTTCCTTTTCAGAGCTTCAACTTCTTCATCTGGAAAAAAAAAGAAATATTGTGAATACAAAAGCAAATTCTTGACCAGACTGTAGATTATGAGTTAACACTTCCATAGACAGACTTTTCCATTAATACACATAAATTACAAACCATTAAGTAAAAACCAGCCACAACAAAAATGAAAAAAAGAAAAAGAAAAAGAAAAGGAGAGAGAGAGAGAGAAAGAGAGAGAGAAACCTACTCGATTGGCCAGAGGACTCCGGCAACCCCCCGCTGGTCTGCCTGGGGAGATGGAGGGCGATGTTGGAGGTGATGTGGTCATGCTGGCCCTTCTGCAGCTGCTCCTGGAGGCCCTCGCAGCTCCTGGCCAGCTGCTCGATCTCTTTCTCCAGACGCTGCTTCTCCTTGCCCTTGTCCTCGTTCTGGCGGAGGGAATGGCGCAATGACAGAGGGGGGGGGGGGAAGAAAGGGACAAGATGGAGAGAGGATGAGAGGAAAAGGAATAAAGGAAGGAAGAAGAAAGAAGAGAGAGAGAGAGAGAGAGAGAGAGAGAGAGAGAGAGAGAGAGAGAGAGAGAGAGAGAGAGAGAGAGAGAGAGAGAGAGAGAGAGAGAGAGAGAGGGGGGGGGGAAGAAAAAAGAAAGCAGGGAAGATGGAAAAAAAAGAAAAGATGGAGAAAGAAAATGAAAGAGTGGGAGAGAGAATGTGGAATCTCTTTATTCCACATCTATATTCATAATTACCTCACCTCAGTGGGAAATACAACTATCAAAGTAATATCTGATGTGCACCCTTCAAAGCAAAAATAACAATAAACAAAAATCATAAAAAATGAAAAATAAATGACAATGATGACAAGTAAATATACACATAAAAAGGGGATAAACTTGCCACTCTTTTCTGTTTGTCAAGTGCTTGCTGGAGTGTGTCAATCTGGTTCTGTTTCTGTGTCCTTTCACGCTTCATTCGCTCCACCTGAGAAATAACGTGCATTTAGACAAGACGATTAGACTGCTGCAAATAAGATTAATCAAGGCAGGTGAAAAAAAAGGAAAACCAAAAGAAAACTTATCCAGTATTTCTTCAGCTGAAAATCTTCTTGATCTATCACTACAGATATGCATTCTATATAATGAAACCTAACTCAAGTTTCAAATATCTAAGCACTAAATAACACATATAAGATAAAATCATTGAAATGCAAATATACAGTGTTATTGAAAAGTTCAATGGCTGTTATATGTATATGCTAATAACCTTGTCAAGTGTAGATTCAAGCTGGGAGGACAAGCTAAGAAATGTATACTTGTTTATGGAAAAAAGTCATGCAGTGAAAGCAAACCATTCCTTCTTGGAAACATAACTAATCAAAATTTCTTGCTTAGTATTGTCCATCTATACAATAATTAATAATAATAATAATAATAATAAAAATGATAAGAAGGAATAATAACCACAGAGATAATGACAAGCACAATGACTCAATTCAAAAACCTACCTGATTCTCCAGCTCCTCGACCTTGCTCAGGGCCGAGGAGGTCAGGCCTTGCTTCCACTCCGAGGCTGACCCAAACCAACTCATGGTCGCCTCACCTTCCTCTCATTCCAACCTGTAAACTGGAAAAGGTTTTTGGTGAGCTACGTTACGAGAAAAGGTATGTACTTCTGATGAAGATATAGTCAAAACCAATCAAATACATCTCTTGCACTGCGAAGGTATTCATTCTCGTTCATCCCTTTTTTTACAATTTGTTGCACTGATCACTGTTTGCACTAAATTGTGTATCATGAGCAGAGTGTAATTGCACTAACAGATGATAAATTATCGTATGACAGACAGCACATCATCAAAAACAGAAGTAAATGACAGTAAAATAGCAGTGGTATTAAGAGTGGTCGGAATGTAGGAATGTAAAAGTAAAGAATATATTCTACCGTTCTTCTCTTAAAACTCAACCAAATCGCAGATCCTGTGAAGAGGACTATGGTGTTGTCACTACTTTCCATATACGTACACAGACAATGACTATTTCTTTTTTAACACGTGGTTAATTGTAATAATGCTACACACACATTTTCCAAAAATACAAAAGCTACGATAATAACACTCCTAAAACGAAAGACAACTGCAACTTTTCAAAAATTTGTCCTGTTAATTCTGCACAATCTGTATGGAGAATCAAACCAAAGAGTTAATAGCTTTTCTTATCTATATTCCAATATCCAAGCCCTTCCTACACCTCACATCATCATATAATTATAAAAACACACATGTTCTTCCCTACAGTAATAGATCATGTCAAGGAATTAATTATTAATAATACACTTTTATAACTGACATATTCTAAGGGTTAAAATAAGGCGTTAAATCCTTTCTACGGGAATTAAAGTTTCAAGGCACGAATATCACGAAGAAGAAACCTGTCCAGTATGATTTTTAGTTCATATCCTCGTCATTTTGATTCAATTTCGATTAAAAAGACGTAAACCAAAACAAACACATAGGCCTATAAGTTCGAAAAAATCTCACTATTTCCAAGTCCACAAGACGAATATTCGGATAACTTTCACACAACACACTCGGGTAATAATTCGCAATAGGGGAATGGAGAGAAATCGCGAAAAGAACGGAGGAAAAGGGTGAAAATAGGATAAATACGTCGCAATCGCAGCCTCGACGTCGGTTAAGGGAAGTTTAAATCGCCGCCTCACGATTTTAAATGACAGACCAAAACAATGGCCATTTTCTCCCCTTTCTCCCCCTTAGCACTCGTTCTTTCCCTCCCATGCCGATCCCCTACAACGCCTTCTAACCTCCAACGCCAACCAAGAGGGAAATCGAGCCTCACGTCACGAAATACTCACGAAAAATGCGACAGCTTCCTCTCCGCCTCTCGCTCTCGCGCTCGGGTTCGAATCGGAGTGACGTCGGGGCTGCCAACCGCACCGGGCGTCGCGCGGGAGGGATTTCTTCTTCTGGTTGTTTGTTTCTTGGGGTGAGTTGGGGATTGGGGGTTGGAGTGGATGGAGAGAGGGCTGTTTGTTATTTTGGTGGGGGCTGGATGGGGTAAGTAGCTCGTTTGGGGAAAATTGTTTGACGTTACGACAGATGCCGGAGGTTGGCAATACTGTTTTACGCATCCCTACCCCCCCAAACATCCTTCATTCTATTTTTACTTTTTTTTTGTTTATTACTATTTACTCGTCTTGGGCAAAATATACGTTTCTTTGTCATGCTGTTGTTATATCTTTATTCCGTTCTCCAAGTTCGAAATGAACGTAACTTCTATATGAGAGAGAAAGTTGGTTTTATATTAATTCCACAATTTACTCAGACGCGCAAGTTTGAAATTTGAAAAAGAGGCGAATGAATAAAAATGGATACATGCCCAAAAGGCTGAGGATAGATAACAATTTGTTGTATCACTCGCTTATCGACTGCGAGAGATAAGAGAGCGAATGCAGAGAGAAGGCGGAGCGATGCTTTGTAACGGATTTCAGATATTTCAAAGAGCGATGAAGCCGTACGTCAGTAGCGCTTGCTCGTCTCTCTCTCTCTCTCTCTCTCTCTCTCTCTCTCTCTCTCTCTCTCTTCTCTCTTCTCTCTTCTCTCTCTCTCTCTCTCTCTCTCTCTCTCTCTCTCTCTCTCTCTCTCTCTCTCTCTCTCTCTCTCTCTCTCTCTCTCTCTCTCTCTCTCTCTCTCTCTCTCTCGCACTGTGTATAGTGTATATATATATATATATATATATATATATATATATATATATATATATATATATACGCACACATAGATAGATTGGTAGATATATTCACACACACACGGACACACACACACACACACACACACACACACACACACACACACATACATATATATATATATATATATATATATATATATATATATATATATATATATATCCCTTGAATGTTATTATGTATGTTTATTCGTTCGTGAACACATTTATCCGTGTGTTCATATGTGTAAGTAAATAATCATCACCATTAATATAATAATTATACATAAACTTTCTCATACTCTCAACACGTAAACGGCTTCTATCAGGGCCTTCCCAGCGCGCGACTCTCCCCCGCCGGAAGCCGGAACTCCGGCTTGGAGAGAGAGCTGACCAGGCGAACCGCGATGGAATTGACTGCGAGCGTCCGAACTGCGCTTAAATTTTTGAAAGTTTTCGTCAATTTTATGCTTTCTTTTTTCTTATTATTGACTTGATTTCTTGATTTTGTTTGCTTATTATCACATTTCTTTGTTTATCTATTTGTTTACTGACTTTCGTATTATTTATTTAATTGTTTATTTAATTTGTTTCTTCACATTCTTGCTTATCAATTCATCTGTGAATTTATATTCATATATTGATTAGAATAATCTGTTTTCTTGTTTATCAATTCATATAGTTTCTTGTTTATTTATTCATTATTTTCTTGTTTATTTATTAATTATTTTCTTGTTTATTAATTTTTCTAGTTTCTTGTTTATAAAATCATACATTTTCTTGTTTATTTATTCATATATTTTCCTCTTTATTTATTCATATATTTTCCTCTTTATTTATTCATATATTTCCTATACGTTTTCTTGTTTATTAATTAAATTATTTGTTTATTTGTTTATTTGTCTATTTATCTATTTATCTACTGAACCTTTTAACTATTCCCTTAACTTTTACTCATTTTTAAAAAAATCATTAATTTATTTAATACTTTTCTATTTCCTTAATCAATCAATTGCTTATTTAATAATTCATTTCTTATTCAGCTATTTCACCTATTCCTTCATTTACTTATTTATTCACCTGTTCATTTTTTTTACCGTTTCTTGCAAAGTGATTGCAATAACAGCTATGACAATAATATACATATAATAATAATAACTAAAATCATCATCCTTTCGTTATTACTATCATCATCATCATTATCTTTATTATCATCTAATGTTTTATCTTATTTAAGATATACGATAAACAGGAAGAAGTAACGGGGAAAATAGGTGAAGGAAGTGGGAAGAATAGAGAAGAAGAAGAAGGAGGAGGAGAAGGAGGAGGAAAAAGAGACAAAAAAAAGAAAAGAAACAGGAGAAGAAGAAAAAAGAAAACAGAACAAGTAAAAAGAACAGAAGAAGAAAAAAAGAAAAGAAGAAGAAGAAGAAGAAGAAGAAAAAAAAACAGAACAAGAAAAAAAAAGAAAAAAAAGAAAGAAGAAAAAAGGAAAAAAAGAAAAAAGAAGAAGAAAAAGAGGATAAAAAGGGAGGAGGAGGAGGACGAGGAGGGGCGACGAAGGGGGAGGGGGGGTCTCCGCGTCTCGTCTCCGCCTTGTCTTAGAGCCTCGCAAGTGTAAACAAATTAAGAACTTCATCCGCGCTTAATGAAATTCTTCAGTGCATTGCGACGAGGATAAGAAGGGGGGGGGGGAGGAAAGGGGAAGGGAGGGGATAGGGAGGGGAGGGGATAGGGAGGGGAAGGGAGGGGTTAGGGAGGGGAGGGGGAGGGGGGAAGGGAGGGGATAAGAAGGGGGGGGGAGGGGGGATGGAGAGGGATAGGGAGGGATAGGATGGGAAAAGGGGAGGGGATGGGGGGGAGGGAGGGGAAGGGAGGGGATAGGGAGGGGGATGGGAAAGGGGAAGGGGAAGGGAGGGGATGGCAAGGGAGGAGGGGGGAAGGGAGAGGAAAGGAGGAGGGAGAGGATAGGAGTGGAAGGGATGGGGGGGTGGGGGAAGGTAGGACAGGGGAAGGGAGGGGTAAGAAGGGGAGGGGAGGAGAGGAAGGTAAGGGGAGGGATAAAAAAGGGGGTAGGGTAAGTGAAGGAGGGGGGGGGAGGGTAGAAGAAGGTAGAAGGAAAAGAGAGAGAGAGAGAGAGAGAGAGAGAGAGAGAGAGAGAGAGAGAGAGAGAGAGAGAGAGAGAGAGAGAGAGAGAGAGAGAGAGAGGGGGGGGGATAGGAGGGAAAAAGGGGAGGGGATGGGAGGGAGGGAGAGAGGGAGGGAGAGGGGAAGAAAGAGGGATGGGAGAGGGGAGGAATTGCGGAGAGAGAGAGAGAGAGAGAGAGAGAGAGAGAGAGAGAGAGAGAGAGAGAGAGAGAGAGAGAGAGAGAGAGAGAGAGAGAGAGAGAGAGAGAGGAGAGAGAGGGGAAGAGAGGGGAGAAAGGCCCTTTTGTCTTCATCCAGGAAGAGCTTCTCTAATATCGCTAGGGTACTATGGCAATTTTTATGCAGAAAATGTTCATCAGAGAGTCTTGGGACGATGGTAATCTTATGAATGTATTTAATCTACGGCATAGAACGGGTCTTGTAAACAAAATCACATGAGGATAAAGATAATGATGATATTGAGAATTATGAGTGATGTCGACGATAAAGGAAATATCAAGAGCATTATTTTTATCAAAACCACGAGAAAATCATTATCAATGTTTATCTTAATTATTATAATCGTAGTAATAATTATATTAAATACCATTATGAGCATTGATATGATGCAGTTAATCAATATCATCGTGATAACAATACTAATCATGATTATGAAAATGATAAACAGCAATAGTGATAATCATCATCATCTCCATGAAAATATATATAACTTTTTTTCGAAAGAAATTGAAGTATTTTGCTTTGGGTTCGAATTTTACTAATGGCGGGAAAGTGAGCGTCGGTTGGCGGTCAAGGTGATGGATGGTGGCCCGTTTTCCCTTCCCTCGCCTCGCCGTCAAATAATCGGCCTTTGACTCTACGTTTCTTTCCTAATTCCTTCGTACCCTTTTTCTCCCTTCCGTGCACTTTTTTCTCTCTCTCTTTTGCACTATTGTTTTTTATTTACTTTCTCTCTAGTTTATTCTTTTCACTCTTCCTCTCTGTCTGTCTCTCTCTCTCTCTCTCTCTCTCTCTCTCTCTCTCTCTCTCTCTCTCTCTCTCTCTCTCTCTCTCTCTCTCTCTCTCTCTCTCTCTCTCTCATGTATTTATGCATATTTATTCCTTCCATCATCACTATTTCTCTATCAGGAATACCCTCGAGAAAAATCATAGAACAACGATAAAGTAATGAAGCCAATCAAAATAATTAGAAATAATCATAATAATTAATGTTAATAATAACCGTCTCCCACCTTGACCTTTGACCCCGACCGGAAAGACTTCCAGAACATTCTCTTTCTATCTCCGTTTTCTTTTTCTTCTTGTCGCGTTTTCTTTAGAGGAGAGAGAGAGAGAGAGAGAGAGAGAGAGAGAGAGAGAGAGAGAGAGAGAGAGAGAGAGAGAGAGAGAGAGAGAGAGAGAGAGAGAGAGAGAGAGAGAGAGGCAGGACAGAGAGAGAGAGGGAGAGAGAGAGAGAGAGACCGAGACAGAGAGAGAGAGATGAAAGATATCGAGGGCGTTTATATCTTTAAGTTCGTTATCCTTTGATGTCGGGGACTATATTAATTAAATTAATGATTGGGTGAATTTTTGGATGGTTGAGGGAGAAGAAAATAGAAGAAGGGAGAAAAGAGAAAGTGGAAGGAAGCGGGAGAGGGAGGGAAGGAAGGACAAAGAGAGAGAGTGTGTGTAAAAGAATGAATGGTATATAGATAGCTAGATAGACTAATAGATCGTTAAATAGGTAGATAGACTGATAGATAGTTAAATAGATAGATAGTTAAATAGATAGATAGTTAAATAGATAGATAGTTAAATAGATAGATAGTTAAATAGATAGATAGTTAAATAGATAGATAGTTAAATAGATAGATAGTTAAATAGATAGATAGTTAAATAGATAGATAGTTAAATAGATAGATAGTTAAATAGATAGATAGTTAAATAGATAGATAGTTAAATAGATAGATAGTTAAATAGATAGATAGTTAAATAGATAGATAGTTAAATAGATAGATAGTTTAAATAGATAGATAGTTAAATAGATAGAT